TAAATCTGCACTACAATGAGAGCTGTATATGTGGGTCCAAAATAAACTTCAGAGAAGCTAATGTGAACACAGAATCAGATCTTAAACTTTATAGTGCACTTACAAAAACTGTGTTCATCAGAAAAAGAAATCTTTAGTACATCATTAGATAAATCTGCAAATACCATTTTTCTGCCCAAGTCTAAAAGTATTATCCAAAATAAGCCTGTATTCATATTTACCTTGTCAAGTGGATGTATCTACAGAGATACCATTTATCATCTCTCACTCTTTATTCCATGCATGTCTCATAGTGTGGTGATCTCAGGTTTTGATCATTATGAAATTAATGTTTTCTGTATGCCAGCTCTTTCAGTGGCAAATACCTAGAGGCAATCACCCTTAACAGGTGTTAACGGTGAATTATGCAAAGTGGGTCGTACAATCATGGGTTTGTACAAGAGCAGCCAAGTGGCCCGACTGCTGGAGGACCTCTTCTCTTCAGGCAAAAATACTAAGATGCTTTGCAGTCAAGGCAAGTTAAAGCCTGCAGGAAGGGGTGTGGTAGGCTCACAAAAGTGTGTCGATGGTCAAGGTGTGTCCCCGGTGAGTCATTAGTGTCACATTGCATAGCCTCCTGGGACAGGTGACATTTGGTAGCCACATTGCTAAACACAAGTATTGGTAAACCTTGCTACTGGAGCATGACGTGACCATCCTGGGCCTTGCAGGCACATCGAGGAGCACGGCTGGCTTCATTTACAGGGCTGTTATCACCTGGGATACAGTTATCACCTGAGAAGAGTTGAGGCCTCTGCTGTTCTCTAGTGAACAATTTTGAGGAGATTTTGGTAAATGTCAACAGTCTGCCCATATAATACCCCACTGTAACGAACAGAAATAGCTTTTTTAAATGTAACTTATGATTAACTTTATCCTCAAAAAGCAAATTATTATTTACTATAGTTTAAATTTGCTGTTGGGAAGCTGGGGATAAAAATAAGTAAATAAACTTTTTTTCTATGTTCCTGAGCTTTAGACAAATTTAACATGCTTAGCCAAAGGTAATTCAGCCTTTGGCTTCAGCTGTGCTACCCTGCTGAGGGAGATTGAAGCCCCTTGGTGGCACCACCACAGTAAGGCCTCCTGGACTGTCCTTTGAAGTGCGCTGAGGTGCTCCATGTCCCGGATCCTGCCTCGCACCGCTGCCCGTACCGCCGAGGCAGCTTGCCTGCAGGCCTGCCGAGACTCGCCTGCCACCCATGGTGCTTGAACGCCAGCCTCTGCTCTGGGCCGAGGCCCAGCTCCCGCAGGGCACCCCGCGAGGGGAAGAGCTCAGGTACCCTCCTGCAAGCCCAGCCTGACACCTCTGTCAACATGGGCAGCACCAAGGCCCACACACCCCATCCAGGCACCCCACAGAGCCACTCTGAGAGAGCACTAGTCACAAGGATGAGCAGCTGTGGCCTGAGGGGCTGTGAGCTGTGCCTGTGAGAAGCCCCACATGCAGCACACCAAGGCCTCATGCGCAGTGAGACCGCTGCCTCCAGCCACAGGGCACAGCAGGACACAGGGCACATGCCCTGGTGGCAGCAAGCTGGATGAGGGGCACCCCTCTGCCAGTGAGCTGGAAAAGTCACCCGGGTGAAACGCTGAAGTGACTCTGCCTTGACTCTGCCTCCCAGCCTGTGAGTTGCTGTGAGAAGTGTTAGCTTGGGCACAGCAGGACCTCATGCTTCTGGGTCTGCTGGAAACAAAGTGCTGTGCATTGGGCTCTTTCTTTGGCTGTCAAACCCTAAAGTCACATTTTCAGCCAGCTCAAACAGATACTTTAGCATCCAGCCAGGAAAAATGTAAGGCGATATTTACATATCTCTGTGTGTGCATGCCTGTTGACACTGTTCACCACCGTTCCAGTGTTAAACACAGTGGTGCCATGTTTCCTCCCTTCCCCTCTGCCTTGTTACTACCAGGGTTGGCTCCTGCACTTACAAAGCAGCTTTGTGTCCTCCCAGGACATAAGAGAGGCTGTTCTAAAGTCCGGCATCTGTCATTTATTGTTTACAGCAAAAGCTGCAGCTTTGAGCTGAGATCAATGCAGTTGCTTGAAGTGTTGGAGAATGTGCTCAATTATCACCAACCTTCCTGTCATTTGTTTGTATTGCTCTGCCGTGCACTCTGGCTGCAGGCCACAAGCTCCAGCAAAGCCTCCAGAGCCGGACAGCAAAGGCAGACATGAAAGGCGCAACCACACACCCAGTTAAGCCGAGAAGCTAAAATTAAAGCTGGTTGGAGCGGTGTGAAACGCCCTGCAGGCAGCAGGAGGATGTCTTTCTCCTAGGACCTTTTACAGGGCAGCAGTGAAAGCCCAAACATAACAACCGATAGGGGGGCTTGCTGCTGTCTCTTGCTGACCTGTCTTCAGAAGCAAAAGCTGTGTTTGCTTTGCCAAAATGAAGCCGGCACCTCTTGACGGTGACGTGCCCAGCAGGTGGGAAGTCTCCTGGCTGGAAATCTCCCACGGTGTCTGCATGGCCACATCCAAAGACCCCAAACTGAGATGAGAGGCGTGCAGTGGTAGATGCTGCAGTGCGATATGTCGCTGCCAGAGGTCACACACCCTGACATGAACTATTCCCACCATCACTTGTAAGAAGCCAGGGGAGATGCAGGTATAGTTGTGGCTAATGGGAATAAGATCAGCCTAGATAGCGCGTTCTGGGAACAATGTGATTGTTCAGCATCACTCATACAGGAAACCAAACAAACCCTGTACAAACAGAGCCGGTTCTAACCCTGAGAGCTCCTTGAGGCAGCTTCTGGTGCCCCACAGCACAGGGACCCCCCAGGCCTGGGGGGTGGCAGGCAGGGAGCAGTGCCCTGCTTGATGGTACCGCTGGTGCCCCCATTGAGCCTGCCCCTGCCAAAATGTGGGTGGGGGGGCACAGCCCCACACAGCTGCGAGGCAGTCGGGATGGGAACACAAATTAAAGCCACCCATTTATGTAAACTACCTCCAAGAACCAAATGCAAAAACAGACGCTTAGAAGCAGAACTGCAATACCAGTTTCAGTCAGGACCCACTGGCGTGCAAGATGAATTATATACATGCAGAATTTCAAAGAGGATTAATTAGGACAGGCTGAGTTCTGCCCACATCTTAATGACCTGAATAGATTATCCTCTCCCTCCTTGCTGCCTTGAGCTATCTGACTGGGGATTGTAACTGCAGATTTTCGCTTCGCTTCACACTGTAAAACACAGCATCAGCTCCATGCAGAGGGCAGGGGGCTGGTGATGCACTGCTGCACCCGAGGAGCTCCCATCACCCTGCTGGGGGTGGCTTGTTTGCAGAGACAAACTGGGGAACAGCAAGGGGGAACAGGCTGCCCAAAATGAGTGTTTCTCCAGTGCTTCTTAAGCATTGTTACAGGGAAAAAAAAAAAAAAAAAAAAAAAAAAAAAAAAAAAAAAAAAAAGAAGAAGAGAGAGAGAGAGAATAAGTGAGTAAGTGGAGGAAAAACACCATGAAGGAAGGATTATGATAGCAACCAGATGGAGAGTTTCAACAAAATAAATCAAAAGATGAACAAGAGGCACAAGATGCCCCTGCACCTTGCAGTATTTGCTTACAAGAAGTGGTCCCAGTTCTACCAAATAAACTGTTGCTGTCTCATGGTGGACGGACAGCACACAGCCTCCCTCCAGCCTGCACAGGGCTCGTCTGCAAAGCTCACACTGCTCTGCCCACCTCTGCACAGACCGGGCGCTCTCCTGCCCGTTCTGAGCATGGGTAAATAACCCCACGCCTGCACACCTTGGGGTGAGTACATTTTTCATGGGTGAATACAGAGTTTCCAAGTGATCAAGATAGGCTAACTGGGAGTGGGAGACTTGATTATATAGCAGAGCTCATGGATTTCCATGGAGGCCAGGAATGCTGTGTCACAGGTGTCACCTGTGCTATTTTCCAGGACCGATTTCCAAAGGTAATTTTTTCAGTTGCAATAAACAGCCTTGGAGTAGCTCTGGAGGACCTACTTGTCCAGAAAAAATAAAAAAAATAAAAAAAATAAAAAAGGAAACCCATTTAATTTCTTGGTAAGAAACTGTGCCTGTTTGGTGAACCCTAATGAGCAGAGCCGCAGTAGTTTGTAGTAGTTTGTATCTATTTATTTTCTGTAGATCACATCCATTGACTGTTCCCTTATTGGGACAGGCAGCCAGGCAGCATCCTCACAAGCCTAACCCAATGCGAGCATCACTTCAACTCCAGCACAGTGCAGAAAAGGTGACCTGGCACAATCCACATCCCACAGCTCTCTGCCAGGCAAAAAAAAAAAAAAACACCACCATTTGGGTTCTCATGCCATTTATTTTATGCCCTTTTATCCTGCAGCTCTGCCTGTGTTCTTTCATGTAATAAACAAATCACAGGTCTTGCTTTACATATCGCCTCACATGAAATCTCTTTCCGGCACTTTGTCTAGAAAGTGCCTAGCAGACCACTGCATTAAATAAAAATGAAGTCAAGCTTGGAGCTCCCCTACCCAGAGCCCTGGGGTTTACAGAGCCTTCTTTGTGCAGTTTCTATTTCTGTCTGATTAAGCTATCTAATTCTCAAAGATTAAGCTATCTAAACTGACTGAGCACTGAAGCATTTAAAACGTAAATGCACTGAGCTTTAATCACAGCCTGCAGACTACCTCCCTCTCTCTCTCCTGCATATACGTGGGGGCTATTTCCTGGCCACTTCTGGGCATTGCACCTGCACCTGCTGGCACATGCACATCCCACAGTTAACCAGAGCACTGCTGCTGTGTAAACTGCTGGTAAAGTGCCTTGGGGATCACCCATCCGGCAGAAGAGAGGCCTAGGTGGAGGCAAACTCCTCACAGGGTGTGCGGCAGTGCTGTGGACTTTGGGGACATGGGCAGCTCACTGCACGTGTGGTCAGCGCTTCCCCAAAGCCATACAGAAGTCAGGTCACCCAGAGGTGTCACCTGGAGGGTGAAGGACAAGGTGTCCAGGCGTGAGGATGCGAGGCCGAGGGTGCAGCTAGGGCAGCAGACGTGGTCCCATCCCCCCTTCTCTGTCCTGCTGCCCCCATGGCCTGGCACAAGCCGTGGCACCCACACCAGTGGCTTCCTTGTTGGCTCGGCCTGCCTTGGTCAGGCAAAACCATTGTCAGCAAGAGGTCGGAGAGGAGGAGGAAGGCAAAAACACGGCTCTCCCATCCAAGGCCAACTTATACTCCTGCAGAAACACACCTCAGAGAAGCAAGAGTTGCAAAGTCCTCCTCTTCTCCCTCCCAGTAACACACTGTGAGAATGAGACGTCCCTTGATTTCTTTTTACATTTGTTCTCTACACAGGGAACGTTGCAAATCTGCACGGGGAGCCCTGGGAGGAGAAGACACGCTGCGGCCATCCTGCAGCTCTGGTCGCAGGGGAGAGTGGCTTCCTGAGCCACAGGCAGCATCTGCAACATCAGCTTTACCAGGCCTCCACAGGCTGCTGTCACATTAATTTGCCTAATTGCTTTTGAACCAACGTACAGTTTGGGCACCTGGAGCATCCCGTGGCAATGAGTTCCACCAATTAATTACGTCCGCCTGAAAAAAAAAAAAAAAAAAGACTTCCTCCATGTCTTAAAAAAATATCTGCCCAATGATTTCATTTAACGTCCATTAAGTCTTATGAGCAAACGGCTCCCATTCCTCCTGTTACTCAGCAGGCTGGGTACTGCTGCTGTAGCCCCAAGCCTGAACCTTTCCAGGCTGAAGCTGGCAGCTGGGGTCTCCTCACACAGAGGCAGCGTTGCATGCTGTTCCTGTCATAAGCTCCCTGCCTGTCCCCCTGCTGTGCACCCACCATCCCATTCGGTGGGAGCCAAGGGTCTTGGGCACCCCTTGAAAATCCTCGTTCAGTGCCACGGGCCGGGCACCAAGGCTGCTCCCAGTGACACCCACAGCAAGCCTTTGTTTGCCGGTGCCGCTGCCTCTGAGCCAGCAAACAGTGGGTGGCTGCCCCAGCTCCTGTGGCTGGGATCACGGGTTGAACAGAGGCAACGTGTTGGCTGGGCAATTAGAAGCGTTACAGCAATTAGCCTCTTACAGGCACTTGCAGTGGGAGCGCAGCAGATAGGAAAAGACATGACCTCAGCCCGGATCAAATAGGCAAAGCCAGCCACAGCGGGGACTTCTCCCAGAAGGCAAACAGGCGAGCTGCGGCCCTGCCAGGCCCAGCATGCCGGGCAGCCCGGCCTTTACGGCTGGCCTTTTTCTGGCTGGGCCTGTAGCCCGCCCTTCTTCAAGCGCTGTTGTTTTTCCCTTGAGCACCACAGCCGTTGCCTTCACGACGCGGCTCCGTGTGCCGAAAACACACTGCTGGCACTGCACCGTGCCGAAGCCTTGCGGCTGGGTGGCTCCTGACAGCGCCGAGCTGGTGGTGATGGCCCCTGTCCCGGGAAAGGTGAACCAGGCAAGCGCCAGCAGGGACGTTCCCATGGCAAACCCCGACTTATTTGCTGGGGCAGGGACTTTTCCTGTGGCTGACAGCATGAATCACAGCCCAAGCCTCCCGTTTTTTGGCTGAAAGCATTCGCAGGAATCGCCACTGCTCCTTCTCTCACGTTGCTCTGCAAAAGCTGAGTAAAACAATGCAGTTGTTGGCTTTGCAGGAGTCAGGCAGCTCTTCTGTTAAGCAGAGGATTTTGATCATGCCCTGTTATTTCATCTCTTTAGAATATTCACCAGACAAAGTAATTTTCCTGTCTCTGAGCAGCGCTAAGCTGTCAGGCTCCTTTTCTCTGAGCAAAAAGCAGTGCAGCATCTTCCCCCTACACAAGTGCTTTTTTGGGGGAAGAGAAAAAAGAAGATGAAAAGAGAAGAAAAGGAAAAAACAAAAACCCAACCCCTCCCTCCTCACGCTGGTCAGTTAGAGGCACACAGTTTTCCAGAGGTGGCAAGAAGAAGGAAATCGTGGCTGTTCACATAAAACCCCAGCACCCAGGAACTGCTCGTAGCGCCCAGGAGAGTCAGCCCCACCTGGTAGAATAGTTTCGAGGGGCTCATTTAGCTGCTGGAAATAAAATCCCACCCTGCAAATATCTCCCCATTGGGAATTAAGCAGCACTGGGGCTAAAACTGGGCCTCAGACAGGATGGTGGGGGGTGAAGGATGGGGGCAGAGCGAGAAGGGATTACCCAGAGCCCTCCCTCGAAGGCAGCACAGACACTGCCCATGTTGTTTCTTTAATTGCGGAAACAATGTGCTCTTTCACAGGCTGCAGGTGGCTCGGGGCATGGCAGAAAAGGGACATTATGGCTTTCCACCACAGCCTGCTTGAAAGGTTTGGAGCCCTATGCACAAAAAAGCCTTTGCTGAGGGTATGGCTGCTGCATCAAGTATCAATGAAAGCTGCGTATCTGCTGCTATGAATCCGATCGCCACAGAAAATGAATGGAAAGCATTAAGAGCAGCAAACGGTATTTCAAGCTGCGATGAACAGCATCCAATTCATCAGTGAATAGCAACCCTGGGTCAGCGAAAGAACAGCTTTGTTTGAAAGAAGTGTGGAAGTGCCTCGAGCAGTCCACAGGAGCAGATGGGCAAAAGAAGGAGCCAGAAACACCAGCACTTCTGAGATCTAGTGAGGGGCCAGCCCCGAGCAAGGCAGTCTGGCTGGCCGGGTGTGCAGAGGATACCTGGGCTGAATGCCCCAGGTGAGCTGGGTGATGGGGCTGTTGGCTCATTCACAGCACCCCCCAGGTGATGGGGCCGTTTCCTCATTCACAGCATCCCCTCATCATCCCATCCTGCTCCCAGCTGCTGCTGGGCTCCCCCTGCCCCAGGTGCCTCTGCCCGACCTCCAGGCCAGATGCTGCCTGCAGGGTGGTGACAGCAAGACAGCTCTGATAAGCTCTGATGGCTCTGTACTTAGGGGAAATCCTCTTGGCTCTTGCCCAAGGCAAGGAAGGCTCAGAGGCCTGGCTTCCCAAAGGATGCATCCAGATCAAAGCCTGCTCCCCAGCCGCCACCGCAGAGGCATCACCTCCAGCCATAACAGGAGGTTATAAAAACAAGGTCTCTCCCTGACACATCCCAGGCTGCAAGGAGGAAGCAGCTCCCAGGACCTGGCTGCCAGCATGCTGAAGGCTCACAGAAATGCTGCTGGACCATAGGGACACACAGGGACGTGCCCCAGCTGTGAGAGGCAGGGCAGCAGGCACCACTCAGCTCTGTGCCATTCTTGCCTTAGCTACAGGAGCCCGGCATGGGTCTGGGGATGCCTCCATCTGCTCCCACTGTTGCAGTCCCACAGTCTTAAAATCCAGAGCACCACAAGGCTCAGGGCCAGCTTCTCAGTGCAGATGATGCCCAAGAGTTGAGCTGTGACAGTTTATGTTGCTTTGATAATTTATATCCCGTTTTATAGCTGTTGATGTTACAACTCCTTCAACATGAAAGATGGCAAGGCCCCCGTCTTATGGAGCTTGCAGTCTAGTACAGACAGGTAAACATAACAAGTAGAAACATTAAACTTTAGGTAGGGAGTGGGGACAGGTTGAGGGAGTATGTACAGAAATTATCTTTGGCACATCAAAGAGCTGGAAAAAGTCCATCAGAGGAACCTTTAGGCTATTTATGTATTTCAGGTAGCAAGATAAAATCATGAATAATGAGTTCCTGCAGCCTCTTTGCAGAACCAGCACTGAAGCAATGCTTACAGAGGCACTTCTCTGCTCACCTATGTCCTTCACACAGGGTACAAGGAATCCTCCATGGGTTTGCCTTGCTGACTTTTAACCAGCAAAGAGAGGAGAAATAGCAAGCAGTATGGCCATGCCCTCCCCACCAAGGTTTGGTGCCTATCCATGACTTCCAGATCACAAGGCTCATCTCCCCAGCACCATCCTCGGCATCTTTCTCCTCGTCTTCTTCCTGTTTTTCACATTTCTCCATTCTTTCAGACTGCTTATTTTGAACTTTAGTCCCCAGAGCTCCCAAACTTTGTCCCTGCTCCCTCTCACCATGCCCAACCCATGCTATCTCCAGTGAAATCCTGCAGCGCAAGGCAAGCTGCACACCAAGGAAAGGAACAACCAGACCCAGCTCCAATGCAGCCAGTGCTCGCCTCTGCTCCTGCCATCAGAGAGCGAGCACATGCTGAGGGGACATGCGTGGATCATTCCCTCCAAGGCGTTCCTGCACTGTTTCTCTGGCCAGGGGGTGAAGGCCTGAGACCCATCCCTGACAGGCTTTGGAAATCCTCTGTTGCAAAACTCAGGATTTCAGCAGGAAGAAAGCAACCTGGACAACTTGCTTGTGCTACACCACTGGGCTGTAGGAGGCTCAGGCTTGTGGGGGCTGGAGACAGCTCCAGAGCAGACCTGGGGATGTTTCCCAGCTTAATTTAATTATCTTATTTGTGAGGGCTCCCGCCTAAATAAAAATTGAGCAGACCGACACAGGGTATGAACTGTTTCCAATACAATGCAAAAAATTCATCACCCAAACAGACAAACATACGTGGCAGCACAGTTTGCTGTTTCGCCGCCAAACAGACTGAGGTAAAAATGCCAGTCGATGAAATCACAAAGACATCCTGCGTTTACAGAGGCTATGCATGCTTTCCACTAGGCTGGAGGAGTTGCTTCAAGTACAAGCCTCGGTAGCCAGGATGTGGAGTGAAGTAGAACTGATGCAGGAAAAAAAAGCAGCCCCATCCGCTCCCACTGCGCCAGCCCAAGCTATGCTGTAAAGAACCAGGTTAAAAAAAAAAAAAAAAAAAAAAAAATCCAGCTGAAAAATAAGCTGGTGAAAAGCATTATTTCTTAGCCAGACAAACTGTGCAGTCTATTTCATCCTCCAGCAGCCCAGCATCTGTGGGCTGTACCAAGCCTGCCCCTGGGCAACTGCGTTGCGACTCCTCTGCTGAAGGCAAGCCATTGCAAGAGATTGCAGTCATTTTTTTAATTATTTTTTTTCCCCTGTTGTTGTTCCTCTTGCTGTTTCAGCCTGTTCACTAGTTGCAGCATCTCTTGTGGTTCCTGTCAGACCGAGGAGCTTGGTGGCATTCGCCTGGAGACGCCTCTCCTCAGACACCTCATGCTGCTTCTCTGCACCCTGCCTGCGGGACAGGCAGAGAAACCAGGGGGAATCACACAGCCTGACGGCAAACCCCACCACCACACAGCTGAGATGGTGAAGGGGCTGGCCAGCTACTGGCACACATGGCTCTGAGAGACTGCCCTCAGCTGCCTGACAAACTGAGACAACTTCCAAGGCCCTTCTGCCCTCCCTGGGCCGCTCCGTCTCCACCATTGTGGCTGGAGACCTGCTGCCCCTCACAGGGCAGGCAGGCCAGGCCCACCTCCTCGCCCAGGGCCCCCTTGTTTCAGGTCTGCTCTGACCCCAATGCTGACTGTGAGGGGAAGGCAGAGACTGATCTCCAGCACCTCCTGCTCGGGCGAGAAAGCATGGCCTCGTTCGATCCCTGCAAGCAGCCACTCAGATATATTGCAGGCCTGCAGGCTTCAACACACAGAATAGGCAATGGTATATCACACAAGGAGTTACAAGAGGCTTTCAGTTCACCAAACGTCGCTTTTTCCACCAATTCAGCATGGATCTAAATCCATGGAGTGCTGTGGGCTGCACAGCTCTGAGCAAGGGGCCAGCAGCTTGGCCTGCTGGGCACAGAGCCCAGGCTGTGCTCAGGGCTATCCCTGTGCCTTCCGGGCTCCTCCGATATAAAATCCAAGCAGTAACCCAACCCTGGCAGAGGCAGCGTGCTGCATAGGGGCCGCATGAGTGAGCCGAGTGACCGATCATTTCAAGGCAAAGTAAACAGTCAGGGAGAAAAAAAAGCATGCAAGTGGATTGGCGTAATCTATGCCAAGAGAAAAGGATGTTTGTTGCACAAATAAAGTGAGTGGGAGCAAGACTTTCCTGCCTGACTGGCGGAAAGGTCCATAAATCAAGACTGGAACTCCTTGCCACGTATGTGAATCAATTAAAGCACTCGATGAATCATTTATTTTCAACATAGACAATCAGCAGCAATGGTTTGATGTTCAATTGATTTCTCATTTGTCTTGCTTCCCTGAGTAATGACAAACAGCTCACCGCTTACACGGTGCATGTCTCAGCCCGACTGCTCCTGGAGCAGCTTCTGCTGCAAGGCATCAGCCGGGCACCTGCTCCTGCCTGCTGGCACTTCACGCCTCGCGGGCACTGCTCTGCAACGCCCTTGGCTCTGCTCCTCTCACCGATCCCACACCACGTTACATTCTCCTTGGGTCTTCTTTCCTTTCCTTCTTTGACAAATTAAAAAAGTTAGAAATGTTCATTCCCACTGCTTGGCATGAGAGCCAGATTCCTGGCTAGAGAGCATCAGTGTCCAACTTCTAAACAGCCCAAAGTCTATAGAACAGACACAGGCTGCCCACAGAGGCTGTGAGCTCTCCCTCTTTGGAGATGTTCAGAAGCCACCTGGACATGGTCCTGGACACCCTGCTGTGGGTGGCCCTGCTGGAGCAGGGGTTGGACCAGACGGACCCAGGGGCCCCTGCCCGCCTCAGCCATTTTGTGTTTGCCACAGAAGCAGCAGAGATTTGCATGCAGTAGATGATTATGTGCCATAAACATACATTGCATTGCATTCATCCAGATAGCCTTGTAAAACACTTCATATGGCCCTCTAATTTGTATTTGTGGACGCCTCGTGATATATTTCAATAGTTATAATTGGGAGCATACCAAAATGAAGTCCTCAGTTTGGGTGCTCGGCTTCACCAACTGGTAAAGTGGTAAAGAAGTGGTGGTCATTAAGACATCAAATCAACAATGTGGATGGATTCCTGTAGCCAAATAGTTAATTTAGGGTGTGCAACTTAGACTGACACAAATATCTGTCCTGAAAAAGGAAGTCTCAGCCCTTGCTGCTCGTTGCTGCTAGCTGATACGAGGCGCCACTGGGATGGGGCCAAGGTGTGCATTAGCATAATCCTATTGTGAAAAGTAAACTGATAAAAGACAGGTGGAAAAAACGGGCACACCGAGGTTTTTCATTCATGAAAACAAGGTGCTTGTGCTGCTCAGTGCACAAGGTTGAGCGTTGATCTGGGGGCACGAGTTGATCCCGTTGATCACGGGAGCCGAGTACCTTGGGGGTGACTGAGACCCTCAGTGTGCTCATGGCCTCCGGAAAAGGAGGCCCTGAGCTGCGCCGCCTCTTCTGTAGGTTGAGCACCAACGCACCAGCACCTGGCTGCACAAGCAGCTGTCCAGGTTCAGGGGCCACAGGCAAAATCCAGGTGTCGGTGAAGTCCAAGCTTTTCAGGCTGTACTATGGCGAATTTTATGGACAGACAAGCCATACTGTGCTGCTGGCTGCCTACAGTCCCTCCAGGAGCATCCCCTCCCTTTTCCCCTCCCATCACCCCTCAAGAGAGCAGGGCACCCAACAGGCACCTTCACCTTCACAAATGAGCTGGCATTCGTCAGCCCTCAGGGCTGAGCAGTGTTTGAAGCTGCCTTTGTGCTGTAACACTGCCCAATAACCCCCACTGGGCAAAATCTATTGCCTAACATGCTGACCAACAGATCTCCTTGCTTCTTTCTCCTTCACAATATGAGCTCTCCCGAGTCATTTTTGGCCATATTTGTACATAAGCTGGGCACAGGAGTACTACAGGGTAATAAACAACTAGTTTGCACTGCTCTCAGAGCATTTCCAAATGCCTCTGCTTTTCAGCCACTTCACTGGAGAACCTCTCAAAAATCCTCTTCCATTTATAGCCAGGATTCAAAGACTGGAGCTCCATTGCCCACAGCCCTCCTGCCCGGCTCTCCCACATCCTCGCTCCGGCAGATCAGTAGGAAAACATCTGCATCCCCAGGATTGCCCAATGCCCAACAGCCCGGGAAGCTGTTGAGGCACCTCTCTCAGAGCAAGCCTTGCGTCACCTCCTGCGTTTGGGCAGCGGTGCGGTCATGACTCAAGGCAGCGTGCGCAGAGGCTGAGGAAAGTCCTTTCAAGCGGCTCTGGATTCACCTATGGGGAGCGAGCGCGCCCAGGGTTCACCCCGCCTGAATTCAGCGCTAGCTGCCTGATGTCACCGCGATTACAGCTTACTTCCTTCAAATCCTGCAAGCCAGGACACAGCAGGCGCTCGCAGGGGCTGTGCAAAGCGTGCCCGCAGTGTGCCGTACCCAGCTGGTGACACGCTCCAGTGCACGCGCACACCGGCACAGCAGCTGCTCCGGAAAAGGCGAGGAACTGCTCCTCTGGGGTTCCTGAGCTTCCCAGCTCAGGCAGAGCATCCTGCACGGGCTCAGTGGTACTTTGCCCCCATTTATCAGCTCGTCCCTTTTACTGATTGAATGATGGGGCTGCCCCTGGGATAGGCAAACATTAGGGCCAGAGCGGGAAGCTGAAAGGAAGGAGGAAAATTCACCAGGCCAGCTTTCACAAGTAATGCAAATCTAGGGCTTGGTACCTCTCGGCCAACATTCAGTGCCACTGAGAGCCACCACACTCAGCTTAGATTTCCCTGAGGCTTTTCTGAGGCTCAGCAGCTTGGGCCTGAGAAGGAAACATTAATGGCCCTGAGCGGTGGGTGGTGGAGGTGGTGAAGAACCTGATGGTCTTTGGGGAGGCTGTCCCATTCAGGGCTGGTTTCTTCAGCCCCATCAATGCTCAGCCCAACAGCTTCATTATCTAACTCATGCTTTTAAATGTGGTAAGCCACCACTACACACATAGCAGAATCAAGGAGGGGAAAGCAGCAAACCCACTGACCTCCTGCAGCAAAGGGTTTCAAGGGTCAACCAAGGGTCTCCTTGGTTTGAATATATGGCACCTCGAAAGCAGGTCCTTGGGATGAGGCTTTCTCCTCTTTCTTCTGAAGCCTGAGCTCTGGCTGCCCACCCCCACACAACAGGGACAAGGAGCTGCTTTGAGATGCTTCACTGTCACAGACAGTTCCAGCTTCAACAAAATCCACCCCACCAGCCTTTCTTGCCAAAACGTAGGCTGATTTTTAATTTCTGCAAGGCTTACACAATTTCAAGACAATATTAAAAAAAACAAAAACAAAAACAAAAACAAAACAAAAACAACACTTTACCAATTTTCTACACTTGTCTTGATTTTGAAAGACAACACATCTTAAATAAATAACTAGCACTTCTCCTGGTCTCTGCAATTTGAGATTTGTCTTTGGAAGAGGAGAACAGGGTTTTTATTGCTTACACTTGAAACTGGAACAACACACTTGATGCCTGCTCAGAAATGCGCAAGCTCTTTGAAATAATGACACACCGCATGGGAAGGTGTAACTCATGCCTTG